AATCTTTTTTTTTCATAGTTGAGTTGCCACCGGCGTAACTGTCATTGCTCCGTGGTTAGGGAAGTCTGCGGAAGCCCCGTGGGATATTTAGATCTATTCCATATATTGCCAAAACTGATACGCATAGCATACGTTCTCTACCCTGTGTCCTCATGCTGCCACTTTCATATTAGAATATAGTAATATAGTATATGATAGAATACAATACAATAATATAACTTGGTATGAAAACAGACAAGCTAGCTTTCGATAGCTATGATTTTATGAGTAGACCTAAAACAGGTTCTGCTTCATGCTATTCTAAAAAGATCTTACTTGTTTATGTCAAGCTGCTAAGATACACTGACAAAGTAATAAATGCAAAGTGAGGCTGACTTCTGCAGGATAGTGTGAGCAGTTAAGCACCTCCAGTCAAGTGCCAGATCATCCAGTCCAAGGTTTTCCATTGGGTTTCATTGCCCTGAGCCCCCAGATTTGCTTTGGAAGAGAAGAAGATGGAGAAAGAGGAGAGGAAAGGGAGTCTTTCCCTCAGCATCTTGTGAGGCTGGTGCACTGGTGCTTCAATTCTGAGCACAAATGAGGCACCTCTCTATAGCTAAGCTTTTGTTTGCTATATTCTGTTATTATCTTTTCCACAACAACCAAAATACAAAAATACTTTCAAAGAAATGCTAAACCCTAAAGAAGAATGTGACTCAGTGTATTAGGAATCCAGATTAAGTCAGTTAGATGTCTAGTCCAGGGAACAAAATATTCAACCTTTAAATAAATACACAATAAAAATAGCACAATCTTACTATAGGATTACTGGACTGTGGCAGTAAATGAACTGAATAAAATTTTATGGCTTCTTAACATGCTGAGGTTTTTGCAGTGTCTTCCATCTTGTAGCTTAACAACATTTTGCAGTCTGCTATCAGTGAAACTAATAGTGCAGATGAAAATTTTATGAAAAATGGGAAATCTACATTGGTTTTATATTATGTCAGTGAAATGAATAAAGATCATATTTTGGCATTAACAGCTAATGGTGAGAAAAGGAGTGGGGGCTGATTTCCCTGTTTTTGGCCCAGGAATTAATGTTTTTTAAAGAGTCGGCTGTAATTACGATATTTGAATGTCATTATCATTAAACTGATGAATTATTTAGATAGAAGGTGAACAAGGCATCGAGTGCCTCAGTGTGTTCATGCCTGTTAGTTGTATTTTGCCAGTTGAGGTTCTCCTTTCAAACTGCGGTATTAATCACAGGAATGGTGCAGATATGTTGTTATTATTTCTCTCAGCAAGGTCAAAGTTTTCTACTATAGAGCATTCGGGGGATAAGACTAAAGGAAAAAGGGAAGAGGAATTGCTAAATAATCAATTATATTACAAATGTCGATAGGAAATAGTTCTTACTCTTTGAAATGGATTGTTTCATATCTTCCATTTGAGTTGTTATAATGGCCCCTTTATCAACTTTCTGGTCTCCCACCTTGATTGGTTTCAAGAAAGCTTTTTGATAAGAAGGAAATACAATTTGAAAAAAAAAAAAAGACTATTAGTGTGATATCATGTGGATGCGAAAAATATTCAGTTTAAGATACAAGCAACTTTGCCTGCAAACATTTTCCTTGAACCAAATGGCAAATTAATAATAAACAACCTTTATTTTCTCATTTCTCACTCTTCTACTCCCTCTCCAGGAAATAACATTTGCTTGCCTTCAGTGGTTTCATTTCTTAGGAGTCTGAGAAATAATTTTTTCTCTAGATCTATTTTAAAAATTATATTTCATTTGCCTGACTTGGATTGGTATGTCCTGGCCTTCAAAAAGAAGCTTGCCACTTTGAGTTTTTTGTTCCAATTTTTGATTGATACTTATCGAGTATTGTAGGGAAGGTAGAGCTATTTCTTTACCATATAGGTTCTTCTGACAGGTCTAAGAATTAAATTGACATCAGGCAGAAAAACATGAGAAAATCAAACATAATTTAATAAAATATATATGTGAGAGAAACTCAGGAAATCTGAATAACTCACCAAAATGGCTGAAGCCAACATCTTAAATAGCATCTTTAGCTATGGACAAAGGAGGATATTGGGGGTAGTGGTTTGGGACTTCGAAGGGGAGGCAGACAATTCACATGGAGATGAAAAAGCAAATGTTTGATAAACAAATATTTGCTGGGCCATCTATAGACAATGTGACCCAAGAGAGAACTTTGATAAAAATGGGCCTTGCTAGTGCCTTCCTGTCTATCATACCTAGAGTTATCTATGGTATTAACTATTTCCTGGGACAGACCTTCTATCTTAAACTCATTTAAGCAGTTAGGGAGGCCAAATTTTCTTCCTGAGTCTTTTGTTCTTAAGAATAATCATGCCAGAGGGACACATTTTAGGGTAGCAAATTCTGATCCTCAACAGTATCAAGGTAGATAATTTTGTGTGGTATACAAGACAGAACAGATGAGTGTTTTACTTTGGGGATGCTATAGTTAACAGCATATCATATTTTGACTCCATCTTGCAAAATACAAGTAAATTTCCTCTGTCCTACACATTTTTGTGCATTTTCACGGTTTGTAGTATGAACACTTTTGTTCTAAGACATTCTGAAAGCTCTTTTTTAGTCATAGACATCTTTGCTTTCCTGAAGAACTTGTAGAATTGCATGATGCCAGTGATGTGACCTCTCCCATCAGCCCTTATTTTTTGGTATGTTTTTTATCCTTTGGGTGCTGATATCTTTTTCATGGGGGATTCCCTTGGCTCAGGTCCCAGAGGAGGATAAACAAGATGCTGCAAGCTCAGAGTAGACCTTGGGTTCAGGACTTTAGGGAAGACTCTAAAGGAGAGTTTTCTTCCATGTTTCTTCTATTCAGCTCAGTTCATCCAGAAAAGATCCAGAAATGCTTGACGCAACTCCTGTTTAGTATAAAGAATGTGCACTTGAAGGGACCATCTTTTTTACTCTAGATTACTCTAGATTAGGGGAAAATGGAAATGGAGTCTATGGAGATCAGAAACACTCAACATGCAAGTAAATTTTCAATCAATATGGCAAGACTGAAATAGGGAAATGCACATCAAAACCGTAATGAGGTATCACCTCACACCTGTTAGGATGGCTATCATTAAAAAACCAAAAAATAGCAAATGTTGGTGCAGATGGGAAGGATGTGGAACCCCTGTGCATTGTTGGTGGGAATGGCAATTGGTGCAACCACTATAGAAAATAGTATGGAAGTTCTTAAATAGTTAAAAGTAGACCTAGCATATGATTCAACAATTCTACTTCTGGATGTTTATCTGAAGAAAACAAAAACTCCAGTTTGCAAAGACATATGCAACTCCATGTTGATTGCAGCATTATTTACAATAGCCAAGATATGAAAGCAACTTGAATGCCCAGTGATGGATGAATGGATAAAGAATTTGTGGTATATATATACAATGGAATATTATTCAGCCGTAAAGAAAGTATGAAATCTTGCCATTTTTGACAACATGGATAGACCTTGAGGGCATTATGCTAAGTGAAATGTCAGATAGAAAAAGACAAATACTGTATGATCTCATTTATATATGGAATCTAAAAACAAACAAACAGAAATAAAACAAGAAAAATGAGCTCATGGATATAGAGAACAGATTGATGGTTGACCGAGGCTCTGTTGTGGGGCCCAGGGGAGGAAATGGGGGAAGAGGGTCAAAAGCTACAAATTTCCAGTTATAAAATGAGTGAGTTATGGGGACGTAACGTCCCGTATGGTGACCACAGTTAATAATACTGTACTGCATGTTCAAAAGTAGCTAGAAGAGTGGATCTTGAAAGTTTTCATCACAGGATAAAAAATTTGTAACTATGTCTGGTGATGGATTAGTGCTTCAAATACCTTAAGTGTTCACATACACACAGTCCCACACAAAGACACACATAAATACAAACGTACAATCTCATCACAAGTGACTATCAAAGAGAGGCCAATTTATTAATTTATTCAGTGTCATTTACATTGAATCAATGAGATTTTATTTTTTCAATAGTATTTGCATTTCATACCGTTTAATTTATAATAAAGAGTAAGGATCAGCCACACATTTCATTCACATGTGAATTTTTAAACACTGGAGCTTACACAAATTAACAAATGATTAGCCTTGACTAAAGAGTAAAGCTGAATATTGAGAAAGTGATAATATTTTGTTCCTTGTTACTAAACATAAATTCCTGTAACATCTTTCACTCTTACTTGTGTGTCTCTTTTCTCTCTTGATTTTTATTAATAAATTTTTAAAGAAATTTTATGTCATTCAGTTTTTATTGTAGATGCAACCTAAGCCCACTTCTACCTTTTCAACAAAAGCACGACCACATACTAAAAACTGGATATTTTGCATATGGGATGCTAACCATTTAGTGTTTGAGAATCATACATACATACACTATGTTTAGATTCTTCTGAATAGTTAGCATTATGTAGCCAATACCTCATTTTGGGTATTGACTACAAAAGCTTCCCAAGAAATAATTAATAATATTTTGATTCCTTTGTTGTGGTTTGAGCTTATTTATTTGCTTATTTGTTTGCTATTCTTGCTTATTTATTTTCTTGTTATTTTTATTCAATCCTAGTTTAAGGGATCAAATCACACCACTTTTTTTGCCCCCAACTTTTACTTACTTCTTACACCACTAGATGTGGAGTAGTAGGACTTAATAGATATTAAGTCTCTCCTAGAGTATTTCAGAATCAGAGTTAGAAAAAGTATTTCTTTGGGATTTCATCAATCAATATTTACAAGATTTCCATGAAATGGTTGGGACGGAGACGCCATGCTGAACAAGTCAGATGTGGCTGAAATTCACCCGGGGACGAATGTTGCAGGTATTAAATTATCCATGGGCTCCAGTCAAGCAATTCAATACTCAATCTGCTCAAAGCCCAGGGAAATAAAAATCACATAAGGAATTCCAGTTTGAAAGAATATTTTCTTTTTAATTTCTGACGTACAATGGCAGGCCATCTGACATCATGTCACATCAGCTTAACTCCCTGGCTGCAACAGACCTGTTGTGCTGTATCAGTGGGGGAAATGTACAAAGACATTCTTGTCCTCAATCAGATTTCCCTGGTATCAGTCTGGACAGCAAGCAGTCAATCCCAATTGAGCAGGCAGATGGAGACAGAGCAGATTAATAAGTGGATCCTCTTTATCTGAAGAGCTGGCAGGCATCATGGTTCGCCAGGCACCTGAGTTATATTTTTAAATAGGTCAGCACATCGAGCGTTTACAAAGGGGAAATGGAGTTAGCTGGAAGATTGGCACCAGTGGGGAACACAATGTGGGAGGTGGAGCCCAAGGTGTGCTTTGATGGAGTCTGAGTATTTCAGACAGTGGAGGATGGAAAATAAAGAGCTGCTGTCCCTGTCTTACCATCTTTGAAAAAAATGGAATGTACCGTGGAAAGCACACAAAACATATCTGTGTAACGTCTCTGAACGTGGTCAGGCATTATGGTTTTACAAACTTCCAACAACATCATCACTGCCACTACACACCCAGCATCAGGGCAAAATCCAGGCGTTTTGTTTGTTTGTTTGCCTTGCACTACACAGCATAGGATCTTCTGGAAGCTATACAGAAAATAGAGAGATTGGGTCTTCAAATAAGGGGAAACGTAATCTATTAGGCTCAACTATAAAACAAAACACAAATGTGTATATGTGAAAGATTCATTAAACTACCTTGAAATCAGACCCAAAAGGAAGTAGAGTTTTGTTTTGAACAGAGACAACATAAACCAACATACAAGTAACACATTTATAATGATCCTCAGGACTATGAGGATCTCCAGAATGCCACTGCCTTGAAAACAGACCTCCTTATATCGAGTCAACAATGTGAACAATATCCTCTACTTTGAATATTAACCTGTCTCAACCAAGAAGTTTTAGTCCATAAAGGAAACAGAAATCTTCTTACCACATTTTCCGGGTACATATTCCCAGGGTTGGAATTACAGGGAGGTCCAAGTTCAATGCTTAACTGCAATAACAAGGTGGCCCACTTAAAATAACCTATTTCCAAATCTTAACCCCGACTTACCAAAGAAATCCTAGGAACATAAATGAGGATTCACTATTTAGCTACTATTTTGTGCATCAATTGAATAATGCATCATTGAAAGAGAAAAATTAATTATCCAACTTTTTGAAATTATACCCATTTGTCTTTTACTCCTTTCTCTCTCTTGGTGGTAGAGGAGAATTCTTGGGACTGTGCCACATTACCCAGATTGAACAAGGCAAGATCGAGTGATTCACGCTCACAGGGTTTGCCTCAACACTTGATTTGACAGCTGGAAGTCAAACTCCATTTGCTTGTGTTGTTTCCAAGGGTAGATAAAAAAGACATTTGAAAAGAATAATTTGGGACCTCTAGGGAGAATAGCGTATTGATTGAGATGAAGTGTGCAAGGCTAAAGGAGCAAATTTCTCCTAAAATGAGACTCAGGAAAATTAAGTAGCAAGGGAGCAATGAAGTAACAATAAATGCTTAATTTGGAAAGGTTTTTAAAGTCTCCCAGAGTTCTTGAATCCTCTGATCTCAGTGTCTTAGATTTAGTCAGTGATTAAATGATTATCTGATATGACAGTACAGTGTAGTGGGAGTTTCCTCTATAACTTCTGTGGGGAACAACTATTTTCTTCCCTTGGAGGATAGAAGAATAATTATTGACGTTACATATCTAAGGTACATTGGGATGCAAATGTAAAATGACAGAATTCTGGACTTTCTTTCAAGTCATTTGAGAAATCAAAAAAAGTCGAAGAAGTAGAAGCAGTCTTGGTATTGAGAGCTGAGGCAATCCTTGAATCCAGAAAGGGGAAAACAACCACTGGGAGACTGCAGTTGCTATGGATGGGCCCTCTTGAGTCAAGGAGACACGGTAGAGCTGAACCGGGCAGCAGGGCTAGAGAGAAGCTTAACAAATTGGTACTGGGAAAGCCTGAAAGGACCAAGAGACCTGCTGCCTAAAGACCTCCACCTCAGATTAGAAACATAAGCTTCTTTGTCTTTCTTGCATGCTCCTCATGCCCAGCAGAAAATCTCTCCTAGTGCTTTTGGTTCTTATCGCTCACCCCTCCTTCCCTCATATGCCATCTGAGTGTAGCAGTAAAAATGCTAACGGAATGGGTCTTCCAAGGGAACAAAAGATGATCAATCCTTGAGCAAACTCCATCTCCTGGAGACCAATAAAGGATGGATTACATCCCTGGAAAAAACTTTCTCCTCTGACTGCTCGTATGAATAAGCTTGAGAGACTAGCAAGAAACATAACTATATAGTTTTCAACAGAATACAATAAAAATAAAATAAAATTTAGAAGTAAAAATAAGATTCCCACTACCATAACATAACGCTTTTCATTTCCTGCAGTTTCAACTGTTCAATTTAGTCCAGTGTATCAGACATAGCATCGGTCCTAGAAGAGAGACAGAAAGATGAGTAAGACGTTATCTCTGCTAACAAGAAATTTCAAATTTTTTATGGGAAGAAAATCTACAATAACCATGATGTAGTAAATGTTACTCTATTCGTTTAAGAAATAGTCTCAGGGAGAAAAGAAAGCATATTTTAACAATTTCTTATACTAGGTGAAAATATTTTTCATATTGTAACAAAGACTTTAAATGTATCAGTCTTGAAATTTGCATTGCGGCCTGCCATAATTTTCGTAGATATTTTCCTTTTTGTTAAATATAAAGAGTTTCCAATATTTTCTTATTATAAATATAGTTGTAAACATCTTTTAATATATATTATTGTTTTCTTCCCTTGTATTTTGTCTTTATACTCAATTTACATGAACGTGAGTATTATGTCAAAGATAAAGAAGCAGATATTAAAACTTGCCCCACAAGGAGGTATAAGTAGGATTCTTTAAAATCCATTTGGTTTCTTTAGTTTCTCTAAAAATCTGTCACATCCCAGTAAGAACTGGCTGGTTGCTCATAAAGGAGGCACAGGCGCATATTCTGTGGCAGTTCTGACAGAGAGTTCTGACATCACCCAGTGGGATTTATTTTATGTATTTGGATACCCTCATTCCTGAACTTCAAACAGTTTTGCTAGTTTTCTGTCCTTATTTGTTGTCTTTTGCCTTTTCCAAGTTCTAGCTTCCCTTGGCTTTATTAATTTAGTTAATATTAATGTTTTCCCACTACTGCTCTACTAAATTTTCCCTCTAAACGATACTCAACACTTTCTTTGCTCTTTGTATGTATGATAAACACCAAACACCTTCTCCCAGCTTAGCCCAGAGCTTAGCTCCCTCCCTCCTTTAACACCTGCAGTAGGGCAAGACCTGGATACGTCCATAGTTAAAGGGCCTAAACTTGGCTTTGGAGTTGGCATTCAAGTGGATTTACACCCAGGAAATATGTGAATGGCACATAACAAGTGTTCCATACATAATAAACCTCAGAAAATTTTCCAAGGGAGTTTCTATGTCTACCATTTTTGCTCAGCTGCAGGTGATATGACATTACCTACCATGAAAAAAGCCTTGAAGTTGTATTCACCTCTCAATGTACCCTTCCCCATCCATTCACCTGATCCTTCTTGTCACACTCAGAATGTGCGTGCAATGACTATATTAGAGTGAAAATTTCTGTCTACTAGTAGTTCTTTATCAGGAAAAGATTTGTGACTATTCATCAATTATGCATGTGTTTGTATAATATATATTATATTATGTATATAATTATATTGATATATAAGAATATATAATGTATATTATTTTATATGTATAATTAATTTCATGCTGGCTTTAAGAGAGCATGATCATAAATAACCAAATAATGTAAACAAACGATGAAATCACATAGAAAAAACAGGACTGGTTTCTTTCTCTGCCTCTTAGGACTACTTTTCAATATACTTATCCAACAATGATGGCTCTTTCCTTTCTCTTAATCTACAGATCTCATTACCATAACACTCAGAATTCATTATATATATATATATATAAAATGTATATATTTACAAATAAAATGTATTATGTGTGTAAGTACACTAAATATCAGGTGGTTAATAGATTGATGTTAAATGATAGTTATATGACTAAGATGTTCTATTATCACAAATGGCCCTCAAGCTGCATTTTCTACTTATAGATTCCCTGATTACCTTTACTATCATTCACAATCTAGTAGATGACTACCAAGAAGATGCAGGTGTGTTTACAGAGTCTAGTATTAAAAGTAAAGTTGCCAAAGAAGGTTGTGTTTGAGGAAGAAGAAAGACTTCTGATGTGACTAGAGTCAGGAGAAACCAAAGTATGAAAGCAGTTCTAAGGCATGCTTCTCTTATATCTTTAATCAGAAACTGTGGCAGCCTCTCTTTCTCACTAATGACTGGTCTTCACCTTCTTCCCAGCATAGAAACCACTTCATTATTATGTTTTTCTTTTTCCTTTGATAAATGATTCCATTTTTCCCCAACTTGGTTCGCAGAATGGCCAACATTAAATGTTCATTTGTTTAAACTAACAGAGTGTGGTCAGTTGATTCCAGAGGGAGGAGAAGAAGCCAAACAGGTCTAAAACGGCATCATTTAAGAACACAATCAATTCATTATCTTTTTCATAAAGTTCACATATGCATGCATTAATCATCATGGCGTGGCACTGGCAGGAAATTCTTACCTAAGCAAGTTCTACTCTACGATATATCTCTAGTGTTTAATGGCCTTTGCAGCTTAGATTTTATTGTGTGCTCACTCATCTGTTGTTTTATGAACCAGTTTGTGTCTTTGTGATGAACTGATTAAGCAACTGGTTATGGAGTTAAATTCATAGGCAAACCAACACTCCCTCCATATCTAGCTAAGGATTTGGGCCCATTATGATCTCATCTATTTTCTAGTATATACAGTATCAGACATTGGGAAAGCTTCTGGAAGAACGCAAGGCTGCTTAATAAATTAAACAGTTAAAGACCTGTAGATGATGACTGAAGAAAGAGAATATTAAGGCAATATCCTAGTGGCCATCTTCACAAATGTGAAGGGTTGTCTATATTGAAGCAAAAAATAGTCACCATGTATTACTCCAGAAAACAGACAATAGTCCTATGAAAAAGAATGAGGATCAAGATAAGAAAGAACTTTCTCATTATGCAACAATGAAACCAATTAACTGAGGACGAGTTGAGATTTTAGTCAATGAAAAGATTCCAGAAGAATATGGGTGAAAATCTGTCAAGGGTATTGAGGTGAATCATGCATATGCTACAAAATTGGACTTGGTGACCTTCCCAGTTAGAGTCCATAATATTTAAGCATTATCTGAGATTTAACAGTCTTACCACTTACCAGACAATCAGTCTGGTGAAAAACCAGTTTGGATGTTTTTCCTTTCTTTCTATTTGTGTTTGTTGAAATTTATGATTTTTTTTAGCTCTACATAAGCCTGTTAATGATGGTTATTTATCTCATATATAAGCATAGTCATAGCTTTCAATGTTGCACTGATGCAAACAAAAAAGCCAGACCTAATTTGAGTACCTTTATACTCTTCTATCTTCAACTTCCTTCCTTGGTTAGTGTGATATAACTCTTCAAACTAACTAACATAAGCATATTATCAAAATTCAGAACAATCCACCTTTTTATTGACTAAGGAACTAAAAATTGCTTAATTCTTTATTTTAGAAGGAAGTTTATATTTTTAGGTGATGTATATTTAATAAATGGGATCCATGAAAAGAAAATAAAAGTCAAGGACTTTTCCAATTCATCATTAAACACATACCAATTTTAGCTTTAAAGCCCACCTAGATAAGATTGTAGAATCTCTTCAAAGCCTTTACAAAAACGTGTTGGCTAAACAAAAAATCCTATTTCCTTAACTTAATCTAGTTTGGGCTCCCTTGAATATGCGAAATAGTTTGTTTCTTATAAAGATTTCTCCTGTATTTGTAGATTGCAATTAAATCACCCCTTTGCCTTCCCTTCTCTATATTAAATTAGAACTCTATCTCCTCCCCAGCAGTGTTTTCCACCAGCTCTTTAAAGATTTATGCTGCTTTCTGCTGAATTCTTACTCAAAAGCATTTCTACACAAAATTGGGGTGAATTCTTTACATGCTAAAATCTCATACTGCCCTTCTAAGATTGATGTATATAATCATCTACATTTTGAAAGTTGAGGAAGAAGTTAAAGAAAATTAGGCCTGTCATCATTAATAGACCCTGAATCATGGCTAGGATTAGAAATCAGAAGCTCACACCACAAATAATGGTGCGATGAACAGCAACTTCATCACTCATCAGTCACCTAACAGGTTGCCCTCCAATACCATCTTTATTTTATAGCACTATATTTCTTACCTCTGGGGATCTTTATGAAATGGATGGGATGATCAGCTGGGCTGTGATGGATGAAACCATGTTGATTGCTTGTTTTCCAAGATTGAGTACTCTCTGAATGTTAAACCATACCCACTCTGTGGTGGACAGACTTTAAGGTGGCCCCACAACCCCCACCACCTTGTATGTGTGCTCTTTTATAATCTCCTCCCGTTGAGTGTGGATATAACCTACATTTCTAACCAATAGAATATGCAAAGGTGATGAGGTAATGCTCCTGTGATTATTTTATGTTTTATATACTGTGTCTTGCTAGTGGACTTGTCTTGTTCTTCTATTAGCCTGAGGAAACAAGCTGCTATGCTGTGAACTGCCTATGGAGAAGTTGACATGCAGGTTGCTGGGGAGTTGAGGCCTCCAGGTGACAGCTAGCAAGAAGCTGGGGCTCTCAATCCTATGCAACCACAAGGAAATGAACTATGCCAACGACTGAGTGAGCTTAGAAGTATATTTTTCCCCAGTTGAGCCACCAGATGATAATGTAAACTGGCCAAAAGATGTCTTGATCGCAACTTTGTGAAACCAAAGGAAAGGACCCAGCTAAACCATGCCCAGACTTCTGACCCACAAAGACTGTGAGATAATAAGTGTGAGTTATTGTAAACTGCTAAGGGTGTGGTAATTTTTGTATACAGCATATAAAATTAATATGCCCTCTTTGTAGATGAGAAAAGTGAGGATGTTGACTGTGATGATGAAATTTTCCCAATAAACTTGATGAAGGGACTATAACTCAGAACTGTGAGGATAATGGTGAGGATGTTTTTGGCCATGATTAACTCTCTCACTTAATACAGAAAAGTAAACAAGTAGGATCTATTTATAGACTCGACACACTACACTAGGCCAACAGTCTTTAAGGCCTTCAGAGATAGAAATAAAACCCTTTTTTTTTTTAAAGATTAGCACCTAAGCTAATATCTGTTGCCAATCTTTTTTTTTTTTCCTTCTTCTTCTTCTCCCAAAACCCCTCCACAGTATATAGTCATATATTCTAGTTGCAGGTCCTTCTAGTTTTATTACGTGGGACACCTCCTCAGCATGACCTGATGA